AAATTTGGTACCGACTATAATGTTGAGTATTTCACCGAGGAACAATTGCAAGGAGCTTTCTGCAATTGTTCAGCTTTTACGGTAATAAACTACAAGAACTTACGCGATTATCCTATATAACAACATTTTGATAGGTAGGCCCAGCATAGATGCGATTTGACAAACAAGGACGTTTAGCATACACCGATACTCAAGCGATAATACGTAAATGACATACAAGCAACACTAACCATCCCGAAAATGCCCAGAAGCCTTGGTAGAAGGTGAGAGCCAGATATCCGGGTGATGTATTCGAGCCCTCGAAAGCATTGTGAAAACTCTCCACATGACCTAGCAGAAAGCGAAAAAAATTTAATCAGCTAAGATTGACTGGGAATAAAGAATAATACCGTCCGATAACAAAGAAGGCTTTAAGTAAACGGACACTAAGTAATCTACTGGAGACGAAACTTACCGGTTGCAAGATGGTATAGACCAAAACCTATGATGAGTAAAAGAGCGATGATCTTGCCGAAGGAGAAGATCACTGCAACTCTCGTGGCCCACCTAACCTTGTAGCAGTTTATCGCACAAATCAGCACTAAAAGTACCAATGACGACAAATTCGCGCTTACTCAGACCACAGAGGGCAATCATGCTAACAACGGGCGCAGGAATCCCGCAGTTGGGATATACGGGTTGCAGAATGTATTCAGCGAAGACAATCGAATTGGCAGCACAGCTGACGCCACCAATGACTACAAAGGTAATCCACATCACAATGAATGCGGGTAGGCCCCCAAAGGCTTCGAGGATATAGGCGTACTCGCCACCCGACTTCTGGATTCGCACACCCAGTTCAGCATACACCAAAGCACCAAGCATGCTGAAGAGGCCCGGTACAATCCACATGATTAGCGAGAGACCCACCGAGTTGGAATATCGCAAAACACCGACAGGCGACACGAATATGCCAGATCCCACAATAACACCGAATATGATACTAACTGCTTGCAGTATGCCAATCTCCTTTTTCATCTTTACTGCCTCTCTTTCGCCTTCATGATCGGAGCTCGACACCTCAAGTTGCCAAGTCCCACTAGCCATCACCAAACCCACCGATTTCCGCGTAGTTCAGTGTTACGACTTTATTTTTGGGCCTAATTTGGTGGTGCCCAGTAGCCTAAATAAACAAAAGAAGCATGCGCCTTTAACTTAAAATGGCTAAATAATGACCATTCAAACTTTGTAATTAAGAATAAAAGATTTGGATCTTTTCATTTCAATTGGTTAAGGCATATCTTACTATTACATGCAATGGTCGTAGGAGTGAAGACCATTTGAAACAAAAGAATATTGCCGAATGACGACCATAAAATAGTTTGCGAAGCTTGTCATTTGATGTTAACAACCTAAGTCAATGTCAATTTTAGGATTGATAACTGTTGTAGTGAACCGATCCCTTGCATATCGGTGCTAAATCACCCTATCACTCCAGTCTCGCTGCCACTTCATAGTATTGACTTAGGGCTAGTGATAAGTTCTTGCTAGTTTTTCCGTTTGTTAGTAAAATACATATTTTTCGTCCCACTCTGGTTTACTAGTGTCTTCAGGGAAGACTTGACTCTTTACACTTGTCCTTTGTAATACTTTGAAAAAGAATTTTGGTGAGTACTTTAAACCAGCGGGTGTTTATTTTTCATCTATTTGCCAGACTTCATGATTTTCTCAGCTACCAAAAGGACTTTGGAGGCACTATGTCTGTGGCCTGGAAGGTGAAGTGAGAATTTGTTAGATGATTAGTATTTGGAAAGATAAATTTGTGGCTTTGATTTGGGTGTCTTCTGAAGATATGCAAAGGTTGAATAAATCTAGGAATTGACCAGTGTCTGCTCTGAGCCTGCAAAAGTTCAAAACAATGAATTCCATCTGAATACTAACAAGTATAGATTGTCTGTGCTGCTGTTTTGGTGACAAGTATCATAATGGGTGAAAGGAATGAGTCAATTCACTACATTAGTGGTTGGGATTCTATCTTCAAGTCCGCATTTCGCAAGGACTAAGGACCACCTGACACCAAATATTTATGGTGTGGTCAAGTGAACTGAAAATACGATGACTGATAATAGATTACGAGATGGTGTGTTAGTGACAATTTGTACACCCCCATTCATTTTGTCCACCATTTTGTGCTTGTTTTGAAAACAAGACAGGAAAGGCAGATTTCATGTTAGTTTAGGCCTTGCCCACAGGGTAAGGTACAGTGAAATGTCAGTCCCACAATAATCTGCGTTTCGTTTTACTACCGCACTGAATTTCGATTAGAACTCCACTGTGACAGGCATAATGACTGTCTACAAATACATTACCTATCAAAGAGTATTTAAAATTTTCATTGCACTTGGTCTTAGTCATAATATTATTTTTAAAGGCTTAATTTTCCAAGATATATCTCTTACACTACGAATGGGTTACCTGTATTTGTTCCAAGGGTAGGAATGGGGGTAATAAAAAGCATGTTAACCATCGCACCATTATCAAATATGCACACCCAGATGTCGATTGAATCGTGAACTATAGACGTTTACAAGGCATTGAATCATACTGTGTATTGTCTCACGAGATCAGTCAACTTTCCATGTCAATTGCATTTGCAAAATTTTGCTACAACAAAATCAACAGAGTAATAAAGGATCCAACATCTCACTTATTACCAGTGTTAAACGTTTCATCAGTTAAGATGAAAATGCAACCAATGCATCCTTTTGATACTGACGGCTATAATATTTGTTTCATGCATACGCGTCGGTAAAAAACCCAAGCGTATGGCCTGTGAAACACATTTAAATTTCAAAAATTATACAAAATAATTGTATAATAAAAGAAAATAAAAGGAACAACTCTTATCATAAGTTCTTCGAAGTAGAGGGGAGAAGAGCCAGCCCATACAATTGCAAAAAGAAGGAACATTGTTAATAGACCAAAGAAAAGTGGATGTAGGAAGCAAAGTTATCGTTTTAAAAATTAGAAAAGCAAATTTGAGTAGTCTGGTGTGAGGAGATGGTTAGATCGAAAAAGTATCCAAACCATAGCCAAGTG